AACATAAATTTAAATCAAAACAAAAGCAAGATAAACCTCCAAATGTTTCTAAAAAGAAAAAGAAATTTACAAAAAGATTTGCTTCTAATAAATCATCCCAAAGAAAGGATAAAAAATTACCTGTCTGTTATAAATGTGGAAAAGTTGGCCATTACAAAAGCCAATGTAAAGTCAAAAAGAAAATTGCTGCTGTAATCTTAGATGAACAAATAAGAAATAAAATATATGATATTATCCAAATCTACGATTCTCCATCTAGTTCAGATTCATATACTACTTCATCCAGTAATACATCTTTTCTTGGTAATATCCATGATGAAGAACTTTATTGGTCAAATACATCCAGTAGTTCCGAAAATGATGATGACATATGTAAATGTCTTATTCCTACTTCTAATATTCATACTTTGACAAAAGAAGATAATCTCATATTAGATCTAATAGAGAAAATTTCTAACCCTGATGAAAAACAAGAAGTAATTACTCAGTTTATCAATCTTGCTAAAACAAAATCAAAACCAGTTCCATTAATCAAACCCCTAAATGAATATAATTTTTCTGATATAATGAATTGTATAAGTCAACATGAAGCTTATAAAAAAGAACCAACTATTGCTGATCTCAAGCAAGAAGTAAATATTGTAAAAACAGAAGTTGCTCAATTAAAAAATCGAATACAAATTCTAGAACTCCAAAATGAAACCCCAAGAATAGATATTGATACAGATTTTATTGAATTTGACCACCTAATCAGAACATCTCATCCACAACATAGAGAAACATGAACGAGTAAATCTGTAAATGTTTTGAATAAAGTCATTACACAAAAATGGTTTATCTTAGTAACAATAGTCATAAGTGATGAATATGAATTTCAATCTTTAGCAGTAGTAGATTCAGGGCAGATCCCAACTGCCTAAATGAAGGACTAGTTCCTACAAAATATTTTGATAAAACAACCCAAATCTTGAATACTGCAGATGGAAGCAGATTGTTTATTAAATATAAACTCTCAAATGCTAAAATCTGCAATGACGGCCATTGCTTCCCCACTACTTTCATAATGGTCAAAGGACTCAGCCAAGCTGTAATTCTTGGAGTACCTTTTCTCACCCTTTTATATCTAATGAAAATTACTCATCCAGGAATTGGAACAAGTGTTCATGATACTCATATTAAATTCGATTTTCTTGATAAACCAAAAATCAAAGAGATCAATATAGTTAAAAATCATATCAAATAAAAAGAGGATTTTTTAGGATCATTACAACTTGAAATCAAACATAAAGTTGTTACTGAAAAACTCCAAACGGAAGATATGATACAAAAAATACAATGACTAAAAAGTATTATTGAACAAGAAATATGTCATGAATTACCAACTGCTTTCTGGAACAGAAAACAACATATTGTTGGATTACCACATGAACCCGATTTTAATGAAACAAAAATCCCAACAAAAGCTAGTCCTATTTAAATGAATACTGAATTACTTCAAATATGTCATATGGAAATCAAAGATCTCCCTCAAAAGAAACTCATCCGTCCAAGCTTATCTCCATGGAGCTGCTCTGCTTTTTATGTCAATAAAAATGCTGAGCAAGAACGAGGAGTTCTACGATTAGTCATCAACTATAAACCTCTAAATAAAGTCTTACAATGGATTCGATATCCTATTCCCAATAAAAAAGATTTATTAGTACATGTTGTTATCTTCTCAAAATTTGATTTAAAATTAGGATTCTGGCAGATTCAGATCAAAGAAGAAGACAAATATAAAACTGCTTTTAATGTACCGTTCGGACAATATGAATAGAATGTAATGCCTTTTGGTCTTAAAAATGCTCTATCTGAATTTCAGAAAATTATGAATGATGTCTTCAATCCTTATTATAAATTTATGATTGTTTATATAGATGATGTACTGGTCTATTCTGATTCTTTAGATCAACATTTCAAACATCTTCATACTTTTATCAATACTATCAAACATGTTGGTTTAGTTGTTTTTGCTAAAAAACTGAATTTATTCCAAACCAAAATGCGATTTTTAGGACATAATATTAACCAAGGAACAATTATCCCCATTGATAGATCAATTTTATTTGCTGATAAATTCCCTGATAAAATTGTAGACAAAACCGAATTACAACGATTTCTAGGATGTCTTAATTATATTAGTAATTTCTATCAAAATCTTGCCATAGAAGCCAAACCTTTATATGATAGGTTAAAAAAGAATCCTCCACCATGGACTGAGATTCATACTTTGGCTATCTAACGACTTAAGCAAAAAGCCAAAGAATTACCTTGTTTAACACTTTCCAATCCTACTGCATTTAAAATCATTGAATGCGATGCCTCTGACTTAGGTCTCGGCGGCATACTAAAACAAAAGTGTGATTCTACTGAGCAATGAATCCGCTTTACTTCTAAAGCACAGAATCCTACACAAAAGAATTATTCTACTATCAAAAAAGAATTACTTGCCATTATACACTGTGTTACTAAGTTCCAAAGTGATATTTTGAATCAACACTTCTTGATACGTACTGATTGTAAAGCTGCTAAGGACATTCTGTAAAAGGATGTTCAAAATCTTGTTTCAAAACAAATATTTGCCCGTTGGCAAGCGATATTATCCGCTTTTGATTTTTCTATTGAACATCTTCCCGGCTCTGCTAATTCATTACCTGATTTTCTTACCCGTGAATTTTTGCAAGAGGGGCCGTAAAAAAAGAATCCTCCA